GAAGAGATTGGGCTCAGAGATCAAGAGTTTCAGTCAACTGTTCAACAAAGAAATCTTCAAACAAACGAACCGATTATTGTGGCGGAAGTGTTTGGAACACCAGGAGTACAGACAAGACAACCGCCAATCAATTATTTCGATCAATTGATACAAATTACAGGACAAATAGAATTCAGTTCTCAGTTCGTTCACGAGTCTGTCATATGTTGGTACGAAAAGGACAATAAAAAACTTATAATCATTGATTCGACGACACTCCCGGCACATATACATCAAATATATCAGATGCGTGATTCAGTATTTCCAGTACTGCTGACTCAAAACTCTAAAAGACTCCATCAGCCGCTACTATATTTTCCCGAAGACTTCACTAAAGGTGGAATATATCTCGTACTGATAAAATCTAAAACTAAAACCATTGAAAATCGAACTGTCCTTATATATAACAGTCGTAAAGACATACCAAAAGTCGACTGTTCGACATATGCGGCAGATTTGGTTTGTTTTGTTCAATCGGTAAAACCAAAACGATCGGGTCCTCGTCTTATAAAATGCCTGATAGATGGCTATAACCAGTTGGTAAGCGGTATACACGCGCCACTCAATCAGCCAATCGATCAAAAGCTAACCATCGAAATTGATAGAATACCCGATTGGAATCACCGATTGAGTAATAGATTTATGTTTATCGTCGGCAACGATGGCTATCTCTGTATCAATGAATGCTGGTCTTCAACCATATATTACAATACTCTGCTTAAAGAGAACACCTATTTCTTGTGCGACGGAATCATAGATCTTGTAAATGTCTTCGGAGTTAAACTCGATCTGAGAGTATGGATATCCAAGTGTAGCAAATCCTACAGTAAGTCTATTAATATTATACCGGAAGGCATACAATATATATCAATCAATTGTAACGATTGTCGTGAACTCGATTGCGGCCAATTGAAGTCATACATATTAGGATGGTACTATCTACCTGAATTTGATACAAAAGTACTATCATTGGATCCAATACAACTGTCCAATGATCTGTCAGGCCAATCAGATCCAGTTAATGATTATCAACCGGTAATGGTATTGGCAGATATCAACGATGCTTTGATCTATGAATACCAGTTCAACAGTCAAGTGGTCGGTCACATACTGTTCTCTCTATCGTCAAACCATTACGAAAAAAAATTATTCAGAGACACTTTCAGTGTATTTATCTGTTTAGACGAAACCAATTGGTCGACCGACTATGCATTGTATCAAATGGTCGGCGAATGTTCGGTAAAGTATCAGAAAGAGTGGATTCCAATACAATTGGATGCACCGAAAATCGACTTTTATTCTGAAAAATGGAATCTTATTAAATTAACTGACGACCAATTGAACCGATGGCGGCTAACCTCTAAAAGATTTACAGATTTTGCTTTATATGATATTTGGCGGAAATTTTTTTTGCCGATTATCAATACAACACCAGTTAACGGCTGGCGTAATGTTGGCGTCAATTTGGCTGAACGTCAACGAGTTATTCAATCGATTGGTTTACAATTTCCCAAAGATTACGGCGTAAGTCAATGGGTAGAAAAGAAACCACGGGTTCACTGATTAGTATACATATCATATGTTTAGTTTATGTTGGTTTGTCATGTATTTTAGTTGTAAATTATAATTTTGATTTTAGAAATTATTATTATTATTATTAGTTTGTTTTGTTTCAATATTTGTTTTAATAAATTTTTTTTAGTTATTATTAATTATGAAATATTTTTATTCGTAAAAATGATAAATATGTTTAATAAAATTAAAAATATTAATTATAAGGAAAGTTTTTTTTAAAACACAATTATAGCTACCTTTTTTATTTATTACATTTAACACACATATAGATAAACATAGATATAAACTGAATATGTATTTAATATATATATATACTGTATATATATGATTATATTAACTACAAAATATTGTTTACTATGCGGTTAACAATTATTAATTTATTTAAGAAAATTACTTTTTATTTGATTACTTTTTGATTTTATTTTGAGATTTAATTTTATAATGTAAATCAGGTTTAAAGAAATGTTAAATATTAAAAAAAAACTAATGAATACTATAATTTCAATTGAATACAACTGTCCAAATGATCAGTTAAGCCAAACAAATCCCTGTATTTCCAATTGAACCGGTGATGGCATTGAGCGATATATTAACGACTATCTACTCTATGGACAACAATGTATTGGTCGGTCACATATCATACTGTTCTCTCTAATGGACAATCTTTGCGAAAGAAATTATTTTAACGATACTTTTGCTGATACTTCATCTGTTTAGACGAAACCAATTGTTTACTTATAGCTAAATCACTTATTAGTAAACTGATTATTACAATAGAAATGTTTTCTATCAGTCAAATACAAATCAATAACTAATTGGGTTTCATTTGAAACTTTCAGTAATAAAATTTTAAAAGTGATAAATAATAAAACAAAAATAGATACAAATAAATGATAATAATATTTAAGTTATTTTGTTTTAAAAAAAACTCAATGCTAAGAGATTATAAGAAAATATATTATTATTTATAAGTTAAATGATATCAATAAATATATGCAAATAATATGCAACTAAACATACAATCATCTGATGATTAAATTAATCTAACAATTAGTTTAGACAATAGGCGCGAGAAATGCTTCTAATGTTGTATTAAAATAAATTAATACTAAACAATATTATTTGTGTGATTATCTCAAGTGATTGTCTTAATAGTATAGTATTTAAATTCAAATAACAAATCAGTATTTTTTTAAAACAGTATTCAATACAATAACAAACATTCAATAAACAAAACAAACAGTTTGATCCACAAGAAGTGACACAAACATACAACTAATCAATCAAAATGGCAAACATTCAAAAAGTATTACATCGAAAGCCAGGAATACTTCGATCGGTTTACGGAAGAGAACAGAATGGGCTCAGAGATCAAGAATTTGAGTCAACTGTTCAACAAAAAGATCTGAAAACAAATGAACCGATTATTGTGGCGGAAGTGTTTGGAACACCAGGAGTACAGAAAAGACAACCGACAATCAATTATTTCGATCAATTGATACAAATTACAGGACAAGTAGAAGTCAATGATGATGTCATTCATGGATCTCTCATTTGTTGGTACAATAAATACTACTCGAGACTCATACTCTTGGATTCCTCGACACTGGTATCACAAGTACCCGAAATGGTAACATATTTGATGGTTGATTCGGTATTCCCAGTACTTATGACACAAAACCATCAGCCACTACCAGTATTTCCCGATGGTTACAGTAGAGGTTTCTATTTGGGACTTATGTCAGACAAACAAAAACATAGACAATCTCAGAGTGTCTTTATTGTTGACAGTCCTACAAATACAACACTAGTCGACTGTCAGACATATGCGGCAGATTTGGTTTGTATTGTGAGAATGGCAGCAGAAAAACGGTCGGGTAATCGTATAATTCGTTTTATATTGGATGGCTATGACCAGACAGTGACCGGTCTGTACGCGGCACTCAATCAGCCAATGGATCAAAAGATAACAACAGAATTAGATCGAATCCCTGCTTGGAATCACCGTTTGTCTAATCGATATATGTTTCTCGTCGGCAACGATGGTTACCTCTGTATCAGTGAGCAGTGGGATTCAAACAAAAGTCAAAACTCATTGATTAAAGAGAACACCTATTTGTGTTGTCACGGATTCTTTAATCTAAATAATGTGTTCAAAGCTAATGTTCCTCTGGGAAAGTGGGAAACAAATATACCCTATCGTAACAGTTTTCTTATTATACCCGAAGGCGTACAATATATGAATCTCGTTCGTTACGATTGCCGGCCACTCGATTGCGGCCAATTGACATCATATATACACGGTTTTTACTATGTATCGGATTTAGAAATAAAAATTCTTGAATTGGATTCAATACAACTGTCCAATGATCTGTTAGGCCAAACAAATCCCGTATTTCCAATTGAACCGGTGATGGCATTGGCCGATATCAGCGACTGTCTGCTCTATGAATACCGTGACAACAATGTAGTACTCGGTCACATAATCTTCTCATTAATTCACAATATTTCCGAAAAAAATTATTTCAACGAAACTTTTGCTGTATTCATGTGTTTAGACGAAACCAATTGGTCAGCTGGTCATACATTATATCAATTGGTTGGCCAATGTTTTGTAAGTTACAACAAAAAGTGGATTTCCAATCAACTTAGTTCAGCATCGGTTAGATTTATAAGCAATGATCCTAGACTTGGTATCATAAAGTTAACTCAAACCCAATTACAACAATGGAGAGCCAAACAAACTGGACTTATTCCAGTCTTCGGTCACATCGACAACTGGCGGTCAAGATTTTTGCCGATAATCAATACTACACCGTTGAGAGAGTGGCACAATGTGGGCGTCAATTTGGCCGATCGTTACCGATGTATTCAAGATTATAACTTAATTTTTCCTAAAAGTTATGGCTCTACTATCGGCCTAAAGTATAGAAAACCACGTATTAACTGATTTTTTTAGTCTTTTTTCACTTAATAGTCATAAGTTTTTTTTATAAAGTATTTAATTTGTCATTCAGTTTGTCAAATAAAATATATTATGGTTTAAATATTTCTCTCATTAATTCAAGTATATAATTAAAGTGAAAAAGATAATAAAAAAAACTAATAACAGATAATAATTGAATTAGATATACTGTACATCAGTACTTAGTGTATATCTTTGAAAATTTTTTATTAATACATCAATAATATAGTATAAAATTCATTTTTAAAATTCATTATATAATTATCAAATTATATGTCAAATTAATCCAATGATCAAAATATTTTATTTTGTTTGTTTATCTTCTTCGGTAATAGCGATGGGAACCACACGTTCAACACCACTGATTGGTGGCCTTTCGTGACCTCAATAGTCAGCACTCCATTCGGCTTAAGATTCGACATCACGTCTCCTCAGGTCTACTGCCATCGGGTAAAGCGTACCGTCGGGTGAACTTTCGTGCAATCCATCCGTGAGTATCACTTCTTTCTTCGTGTTTGCCATGAATTTGAATACTATTGCCAATAGTTTTGACTTCAATTTCTTCTGGTTTGAAATGACTGACATCTAACTTTACCGAAAACTTATCGCCAGTGTTGGCCACTTGTGATGATCCAGAAATTTGATTCAATTGATTCATTGATCGGTTCCAGTGGTCGTCCAACTCATGTAAATCAAAACCAAACAACCTCTGCGGCCAATCAAACAAATCCGATGGATATCGTCGTCTAACAGCTGAGCGATACGGCAAATACAGATTCAAAGACATTATTATTTAAAAATAGCAATAATTATAATCACAAATTCAATGATAAATACAGTATTATTATTGTTATATAGCTTTTAGAGAGTACTAAAAGTTTCAATCGATACTCGCATTGCTTTCACTGTAAGCCTTATAATATTATATAGTGTTTTGCAGTGAAACCAGAATTTTAATGGAAATGTATAGAAAAGTTAACGTTTTAATTGTATGTATTGTACGCACACTTCACTGCTTAACCTTCACTGAGTTCTCGATATTTCTTTGCCTAACATACCATACATTTGACTGCAAAGCAATTTATAAGTTAAATGATATATATATATATGCAAATAATATGCCACGAGTTGAACATACAATCATCTGATGATTAACTTAATCTAACAATTAGTTTAGACAATCGGCGCGAGAAAATCAAATACAGTATTAAAATAGATTAATATTAAACAATATTATTTGTAATTATCTCATGTGATTGTCTTAATAGTATGATATTTAAATTCAAAAATTTAATATCAATATTTTTTTTATTAATATTCAATAAACAAAACAGACTGTTTGATCCACAAACTAATCAACCAAAATGGCAAACATTCAAAAAGAATTACATCGAAAGCCAGGAATACTTCGATCGGTTTACGGAAGAGAACAGATTGGGCTCAGAGATCAAGAGTTTGAGTCAACTGTTCAACAAAAAGATCTGAAAACAAATGAACCGATTATTGTGGCGGAAGTGTTTGGGACACCAGGAGTACAGACAAGACAACCGCCAATCAATTATTTCGATCAATTGATACAAATTACAAAACAAGTGGAAGTCAATGATAAGGTCATTCATGGATCTCTGATTTGTTGGTACAATAAATACTACTCGAAACTAGTAGTCTTGGATTCTTCTACACTGGTATCACAAGTACCCGAAATAGTAACATATTTGATGATTGATTCAGTATTTCCAGTACTGATGACACAAAACCATCAGCCACTACAAGAATATCCCGATAAATACAGTAGAGGTATCTATTTGGGACTTATCTCAGCAGAACAAAAACAAAAACAGACACAATCTCAGAGTGTTTTTATTGTCGACAGTCCTACAAATATAACACGAGTCGACTGTCAGACATATGCGGCAGATTTGGTTTGTATTCTGAGAATGGCAGACGAAAAACGGTCGGCTAATCGTGTAATTCATTACATATTGGATGGCTATGACCAGACAGTGACCGGTCTGCACGCGGCACTCAATCAGCCAATGGAAGACAAGATAACCATCGAAATTGATCGAATTCCTGCTTGGATTCATCGTTTGTCCAATCGATATATGTTTTTCGTCGGCAACGATGGTTACCTCTGTATCAGCGAAAGGTGGGATTCAAACAAATATCAAAACTCATTGATTAAAGAGAATACCTATTTTTGTTGTGACGGATTCGTTAATCTAAATAATGTGTTCAGAGCTAATGTTCCTCTGGGAAAGTGGGAAACAAATATACCCTATCGTAACATTTGTCTTATTATACCCGAAGGCGTACAATATATAGATCTCATTCGCAAAGATTGCCGGCCACTCTATAGCGGCCAATTGACATCATATATTCACGGCTTTTACTATGTATCGGATTTAGAAATAAAAATACTTGAATTGGATTCAATACAACTATCCAATGATCTGTTAGGCCAAACAAATCCCGTATTTCCAATTGAACCGGTGATGGCATTGGCCGATATCAGCGACTGTCTGCTCTATGAATACCGTAACAACAATGTATTGGTCGGTCACTTACTGTTCTCTCTAATGCACAATCTTTGCGAAAAAAATTATTTCAACGACACTTTTGCTGTATTCATCTGTTTAAACGAAAGCAATTGGTCAGCTGGCCATACATTATATCAATTGGTTGGCCTATGTTTCGTAAAGTACAACAAAAAATGGATTTCCACACAACTAACTGCACCATCGATTGGCTATATAATCAATAAATCCAGAATTGGTATCAATTTAGTAAAGATAAGTCACAAAAAATGGCTTAAATGGAAACTTAAAGTTTCGTCAAAGTTTCCAGCATTCAGTGACACTTACAATTGGCGATTAAAATTTTTGCCGACAATCAATACGACACCGTTAAGCGGTTGGCATAATGTGGGCGTCAATTTGGCCGATCGTTACCGAGCTATTCAGGAATATGGGATCAAATTTCCAGAAAATTATGGCTCCGCTTACAACTACTAGATTGTATATAAACCACTCATAAACTGGATATTTCTTTATATATACAGTCACTATATATTATGTTTGAAACTTTCAATAAACAAACTTTAAAAGTGATTTTGAATAATAATAAATTTAAAAAATAAACCTAATTAAACATACCAACAAAAATCGATAAAATAAATGATTATAATGTTTAAGTTACTGTTGATTTGTTGGTATTTTGGAAATATAAATAAATTATTTTTTATAACATTATTATTGTTGATATACAGTATAGTTATTCATAAACTAGAATATAGTAATTATAATGTATGGTATTATTGATTTTATTTATTATGATAAAAAAACGATTAAATTTTTAAAATTGAGAATATTTAAATGTTTTATAAAATATTTTCATATACTTTATATACTTATAATATTACTTTATATTAAATACAATGCTTTAAATACTTTAATTATTATCAATGTGTTTACAATTGAATTAGAAAAAATATTCTCATAGTTTTATTTTATTTATTAAGTTTTTTTGTAATACTATTATACAAATAAGATACAAATATATAAATAATTATAATTATTTAATAATTATCAGTTTTTAAAAATTTTATTCAACATTTTATTATATCATAGTTTAATATAATTTTATTTTTAGTCTTAAATTTATTTATTAACAATTATAACATAAAGTTCAAAGTTTGATTAACAGTAGATTTAAATGTATTAATTTAAATAACAATAACTTGATTTTTGTAATTTATATAAATATTATATAATTTTATTATAATATAACACAAGTATGAATATTGTTGACTAAAACTGATGACAGATATGCCGATCCACATACCAATAGTACAACCGATTTCATAGTCCAAAGATATCCATAGCTAACTGTTCAGTGATTTGTGGCTCTAATGAGTGTTTCGGTATTATATTGATCTCAGTATAGTTAGTGAATCCCGAAGTTTATTTGTGTCAATTGGGAGGACTTATGAGTATGTTTTGGGGATACAGTTGTTATTTATTAATAGTATCACTAATTGAGTAATAAAATCAAGTTTAATATTTTCAAAACTTTCAAAACTCAAACAAAACTGGATATAGTTATGAAATTTTAGACCAAATATTAAAACAAATATTATATATACGACTAAATCCGTCAAACTGTTGCTGTCAGATACTGACACATACAAACAGTACTATACATATACTGTATAGATAACACATACCAAACTATGTTATACATATACTGTATAGACATTAATACACTATTATATACATATACTATATTTTGCATATAAATACATATACAATATACTTACTGTACACAACATATACAACACAAATGCTATACCAGTAAATACAAGTTAAATATAGATAACAAACATACAAAATAAAATTAGAAAACTTTTCCACTAAAATACAAATAAACAAAATTGTAATTATATAGAAATATACAGAGAGAAAAACAAACACACAAAAACTTCTAGAACTTATAGAAACAAAGTTCACATTTTGGTTAACATATAAATACAGCACAAAATGTGAACACAAATCACTCTCAGTTGGACTACCATCCCAGCTCTTAGTCACCCAGTCTTACAGTCCACTAAGTATAGTATAGTATACCACTATTACTATACACCCGATAATGCCTAACCATTTAGTTATAGTATAGGATACCACTATACTATATATTATTGTATTAATAGTAATTTTTTATATAAATATTATATTGTAAGCCCTCATCAAATTTTGAATAAAGAATTTATTTTATATTGTTAAGYAACTGTATGTTTCACTCGGCATACCTGACATTGCCGACAACGACTACAGCCAGTAATCAGTGTTTAGATTCAATACACACACCATTTGATAATAAATAATATAAATATATGGATAATTAACTCTAATAATAATAATAATAAACAATACTATTGTTTGAAATTATCTCATGTGATTGAGTAGATTTTTAAATTTTTTAAAATGATTATTTTTTTAGTTTATACAACTATTAAACAACTATATATTATCTAATTATTAACAATTATATATATATTATTAAACGACTTGAAAACATTCAGTTAAACAAACCAAACAAAATACAAGAACTGTTTGAACTAAACAACAAGTGAGACAAACAATCAATCAATCAATCAAAATGACAGACAATTCAAAAATATTATCCACTTTTTGCTTTCACTGGCTATTGGCGGACAAAGTTTTTGCCGTTTATCAATACAACACCAGTCAATGGTTGGCTTAATGTTGGCGTCAATTTGGCTGAACGTCAACGTGTTATTCAAACGTTTGGTTTACAATTTCCCAATGATTACGGCTTAACTAAAAAGCAATACAAGAAACCATGAGTTAAATGATTGGATGCTTATACTGTATTAAACTGTTTATCATATGTATAGTCTATTTGGGTTTGTCATGTATTTTGTTTGAACAAAATAAAAACATTTTTTKATTTTAGAAGTTATTATTATTATTATTATTATTATAATTAAAATATCCTCTGAATGTTGTTTATTTATTTATCACATATCATATAACTATTACATTAAAACACATATTAATTTCAAACTTAAATTTATTTAGATATTCATTTGTAATCTGAATTCAAATAAATCTAAATCAGATTATAAATAATAAAATAATAATCCTTTTAGTTGACTACCATTTAGTTACCTTTTTTTGTTTTTTGGTTATGACTCTCACCTAACTCGTAGTTTTACTGACTATCACTTTCTTCGGGTATGGTATCCAAGTCCTGATCGATAAACATACGAAAATCTTTTCTATAGATTTGTGGATCCGATGATTCTTCTGGTATGGTTAGCATTGGAGCAATGGATCTAACCGGACGGATAGGAGTCGGCCAAACTTCATTGATTGGACGATGACGACGTCCTGGTTGTTGCCGTCGTTGTTGTTGTTGTTGTTGTCCTCCTCTGGACTTAACATCAGTGATCGGCGATCGATTTTCTCGCGTTAGAATGCGTAGACGGGGTGATGGAGATCGTCTCGACTCAGCTCCTCTTTGTGGTGATGATGGCATACGTGGTCTCGGTGTCGGTAGACGTGGCCTTGGTACCGGCGAACGTGGCCTTTGTGCCGGTGGTGAAGGTGGCCTTGGTGTTTGGCTTCGTATATATCTTGATGCACTTTCTGGTAATGGAGCAAATTGACGGAATGGTGGTTCCGACCATTCCATTGGTGGCGGTTGTACTTCTTCTACAGTAAATGGGCTATATTGTTGTCCGATTGTAGGAACCCAGGGAGGTTGATCAGTAGGTATAGATGGAAGCATATAAGTAGTCCTTTGATAGCCGTAACGACGTTGGTCTTGTGCCGTAGGATCCGGTAGAGGTCTCAGAAGTCCAGATTCATCTCTTGGACCTAATGTTGGAGATTCAGAACTAACTGGTGGCTGCTGTCCGTAAACATCCATTCCTTGAGACCCATAACCAGCTGATGCCTGTGGATAACCACCCAATGCAGGTGGTTGAGACGTAAAAGCACCCGGTTGTGGATAATTTGGTGTCTGATATCCGAAACTACTTGGATCAAAACTGGGACCCGGTTGATGAAATGTGGGCATACCTTGTCCCTGAAATGGAGGCATACCTTGTCCTTGAAATGGGGGCATACCTTGTCCCTGAAATGGGGGCATTCCTTGTCCTTGAAATGTGGGCATACCTTGTCCTTGAAATGGGGGCATACCTTGTCCCTGAAATGAGGGTAAACCTTGTCCCTGAAATGTGGGCATACCTTGTCCCTGAAATGGGGGTAAACCTTGTCCTTGAAATGTGGGCATACCTTGTCCCTGAAATGGGGGAAAACCTACTTCTGGCATATACAATGGAGGACCATGTAATGCAAGCATTTGATCTCTCTGTTGCATCTCCAGTAATGTGGGAACACCCTCTGCCATATACAAGGGAGGCCCGTGTTGTTCAGGAGGCAGATGATGGGTTTGGTATGGAATCTGTGACTGTTCCCAGAATTGATTTGATGTCTGTAGCCGAGGACGATACGATCCACGTTGACCTCTACCTCTAGATCTACCTCTACTTCTATTTGGTCTATTGTATGCCATTTTGTTTTGTTGTTGATTTGATTTTGAACTTTAAATCGATCTGAAATTTAGTCTTAAGATCAGCTAATGATGTGATGCAAAACTGTTTCGACAATTCAATTAAATGACTTTTAATTGAATTTTGATTTTAAAGATAAAGTTTTTATAKATTTTTAAAAATCTATTTTTCATTGTTGTCTTAATGTATTTATTAATGTAAAATATATTTTATTATTTGCAAATATTTTTTGAACGAATGATAAAATTTTCAAAATTTTTTTGTTGTAAAAATTTATTAATATTTTAATTGTGTTTTAGATTAGATTAAATAGTTTCGTTTGATCAGATTGACCGGTGCATGGGTTAAGTTAGTTTAATATATTATATTAAAATACTTAATTTTATAATTATGACAAAACAATTATGCAATTATACTGTATATTAAAACATATGCTTATAAGTGTTATTTGACACTTATTGAACACGTACTCACACGTGTTAAGTACAGTATAATGTATTAGACATTAATCCACTTAAACAATGTCCCTAATACTTGGTCACACAAAACTATCAATAAAAATAAATCAAATAATAATAATATTGAATTCAATAATTTGTTTATTTTTTTAAAGATAATTTTTAATAAATGAATCATATTTGAAGTTAAATAATATCAATAAATATCTGATATAAAAATTAACTAACAATCAGTTTAGAAATTCGTATTAAATCCACATTTTGATTTTAGAAATTATTATTATTAATAATAAAAAATATACTGAAATTTGAATACTGATATTTGAGTTATAAATACTGTACTATTATCCATATTTATCAAATAAGATATAACACTCACATAAACACATATTGAATTCAAAATTTACGCTAACTTTTATTGACTAGTATTTACAATATTATAACTATGAAAACAATCCGCGCGTGAAAATTAAATGCAGTATTCAATAGATAAATAATAATATATATGTAATAAAGTACTGTATTAAACAATATTATTTCTCATGTGATTAAAGTATTATTTTTAAAATTATTTTTAATCAGTATTTTTATCAGTTTTATCGTTAATTTTTTATTTTTTATATTTAATAGTAAACGACAACAAAAATAAACAAAATACAAGAACTGTTTGATCCACAAGAAGTGAGACAAACAACCAATCAATCAATAAAAATGGAAAAAATTCCTAAACTATTATATCGAAAGCAAGAAACACTTCGATCGGTTTACGGAAGAGAACAGATTGGGCTCAGAGATCAAGAGTTTCAGTCAACTGTTCAACAAAAAGATCAGAAAACAAATGAACCGATTATTGTGGCGGAAGTGTTTGGAACACCAGGAGTACAGAAAAGACAACCGACAGTCAATTATTTCTATCAATTGACACAAATTACAAAACAAGTGGAAATCAATGATGAGGTCATTCATGGATCTGTCATATGTTGGTACGAAAAAGACATCAAACAACTTATAATTATTGATTCCTCGACACTGTCATCAATAGCCCCACAAATTATAACATATCAGATGCGTGATTCAGTATTTCCAGTACTGATGACTCAAAACCAACAGCCGCTACCAGAACTTCCCGACGACTATACTACAGGCTTATATCTCGGACTCATGAAAGCCAAACAAAATACGATTGAAAATCGGACTGTCCTTGTTTTTAACAGTCGTACAGACATACGAAAAGCCAACTGTACGACACATGCGGCAAATTTGATTTGTTTTGTTAAATCGGTAATTAAAAAACGGTCGGGTTCTCGTTTAATCACTTACCTGTTGGATGGATACAACCAGTCAGTTATCGGTCTACACGCGGCACTCAATCAGCCAATTGATCAAAAGATAACCATTGAATTTGATAGAATGCCCGATTGGAATCACCGATTGACTAATAGATATATGTTTCTCGTCGGCAACGATGGTTACCTCTGTATCAGCGAAAACTATTTTTCAAACATTTATATGAATTCTTTACTTAAAGAGAACACCTATTTCTTGTGCGACGGATGTTTAGATCTCGTTAATCTATTCGCCGGTAAATTTGATTTGACTAAATTGGTCGCAAACATACCCTATCGGAAAACTATTCATATTATACCCGAAGGCGTACAGTATATGCATATCATGCGTAATGATTGTCAACCATTAAATACCGACCAATTAAAGTCATACATATACGGCTGGTATTTTGTATCGGATTATGACCCAAAAGTACTTGAATTGGATTCAATACAACTATCCAAAGATTTGTTAGACCAACCAAATCCTSTTYATGATTATCAACCGGTGATGATATTGGCCGATATMAACGATGCTTTGATCTATGAATACGAGTACAAGAAACAAGTGGTCGGTCACATACTGTTCTCTCTATCGGCTAATCATTACGACAAGAATTACTTCGACGACATTTTCGTTGTATTYATCTGTTTAGACGAATCCAATTGGTCGACATCYGCTTCATTGTATCAATTGGTCGGTGAATGTACGGTACAGTATCGACATTCGGGTAGCAAAACACAATTGAATGCACCGACGGTCTTCTTTTGCGGTCAACATTCACAAAATTCTACTATAAATCTAATTGAATTAAATGCCGATCAATTGGTTCGGTGGCAACCGGTCGTTGGACATCCGCTTTTTGCTTTCTCTGGCAATTGGCGGACAAAGTTTTTGCCGTTTATCAATACAACACCAGTGAACGGTTGGCTCAATGTTGGCGTCAATTTGGCTGAACGTAAACGAATTATTCTAGCGTTTGGTTTACAATTACCCGATGATTATGGCGTAACTAAAAAACAACGGGTCAAATGATTGGATACTTGTATAMCGGTATCTAATCGGTGTCTAATATGTACAGTCTATTTATGTTTGTCATGTATTTTGATTGCAAAATATTATTATTTAGTCATGTATTTWGTGTTTGTACTTTACTTGCAATTAATAAATCATTACTTTTTTGTTAAGTTATTATTAATTATGTTATATTTATTTTATTTARTTWAAAAAATTAAAGTATCTTTAATAAGTTTATTTTAGTTTTATTTAYTTAAAAATATACTTAAAGCTGTTTATAGRCAMAAATACTTTTATTTAAATAYATTATCATATAACATTCAMATAAACAKATATTATTTTCAAAATTATATTTATCATCTAAATAAACTATTGTAGTTTTATTTTGCAATTATAACTGTAAATCATAACTAGAATTTTAACTATAATAATGGTAATTATAACAAAATATATATATAGACTTAGATAACTATAATAGTTATAATTAAAGTAAAGAAAGTATAAATCAAAAAATCAAWTCAATTCAATAACCAAACTGTTTATTCTGTTTCTCTCCTTCGGTGATAGCGATGGGAACCACACGTTCAACACCACTGATTGGTGGCAACTGTTCTTTCTTAGYYTCAATAGTCAGCACACCATTCGGCTTAAGACTCGACATCACGTCCTCGGCTTTGCATCCATCGGGCAAAACATAACGTCTGGTAAACTCTCGTGCAATCCATCCGTGACTATCACTTCTTTCTTCGTGTTTGCCATGAATTTCAATATAATTGCCAATAGTTTTGACTTCAATTTCTTCGGGTTTGAAATGACTGACGTCTAACTTCACGGAAAACTTGTCGCCAGTGTTGGCTACATATCCCGAGAGTTGATTCAATTGACTCAATGATCGGTCAAAATCACGACAATCGAGACCAAAGTGTTGTCCAAACATACTCTGCGGCCAATCAAACAAATCCGATGGATATCGTCGTCTAACAGCTGAACGATACGGAAAAAACATATCCAAAGCCATTATTTTAAAGCAATAATTATAATCACAATATTAGTTATGAGACAATATATATGAAACAATTTATTGATAACTTTATTAAAAAAGTTTTATTTGAAAACTTATTTCAAATTATAGTTTGACTGCTATTACTGTTAATAATAGTCTATAACTTAATTGCTTTATATATGTATTGTATTGCGAATCGAGTAATGAGTGGAATATTCCATTGCATTACACACTCTCTCACAACATATCAATGCATAACATGTTCTCCAATATTCTACTCAATACTCGCAAACAGTATTCATATACTGTATATGTGTTTACTATATATTTGTTTATACAGTAATTCAATGCTACACTATATCATAGACTATTGCGATTTACTATGAGATTAATTAATACATTCATTAAAACAATTATTGATAATTTTATAATGAAAATGTATAGTAATTTTTTTTTTTAAAAAATGTATATAATATTATATAACTTATAGTTTATAAGCTATTTAATTATTTTCAAAAAAATTTACTATAAAATATCATAAAACATTTCTAGAAAAGTTCAATTGGCATATTTTTTCACTTATGATATTTTTAAAAAAAATATATATATATATAGAAATTACCATTTTCTAACAATTTACATATACATATCTAAACTTATCTAAAGTATTGTGACCGTGGATGAGATACACAGTCACGGTCTGGCGCCGGCAGCTATTACGACGATCCCATCCATTCCGGTAACAATGGATTATCAAGTAATGACAATCAACTTTCCAGACATAGTTGTGACTCAATGAGCAAAGATTATATTTTGTGAACCGCGCGATGGCTATGGAATTGAKWGGTCTGTTTGAATTGGAACAAGTGGTTCAACAATACCATCAATGGTTCAATGAATTCAYTCAACGTTCCCGTAAAAGCTCTGCGATCTGCGCCTATGGTATCGACTGGCGGGTCATTTAGGARCCGAACCCCATTGGYTGCCAAACATTCAGGATTGCTTCCAACGATTGTTTGCAATACCCGCWCMACTGTTCGGAAATTATCAGATTATCCATCGTCTCGAACAGGTATGGAATTTCAGTTTACTCGTTCCCAATGAACAACAATAGGAACGTAAGGTTTTTTACACTATTTTCTCTATGTTCCTAAAAAAATAAACTTAAAAAAAAATTTTTTAAAATAAAAAAAAATTCAAATTTTTTTTTATTAATTATTGGACACCATTTTGTTTAYTTTCCTGAAAAATAAACTTAAAAAATAAAAAAAAATTATAAAAACACAAAAAATTGTGWAGCTGAACGTGGATTCGAACCTATGTCCTCGTGGGACAGACAGACCGACAGAMAGACTTATAGAATGCATATACGTATTCCTTTCAGGAATTCGTGAAAATACTGTATWATACAGAGTATTAAACCTGTTATTAAAATATTGTATAATATTTAGAGTATTTTTAATTAATTAATAAACTGTCATAAGTTATAATAAAATAGACTTTTAAACAAATTTGAAAATATAAAATTATGCTTAAGTCTAGATTATAAGTAAAACAAAAATTCTTTAGCAAAATATACTTTTTGAAAAAAATAAAAAGTTAAACAATAGGTTAATTCAAATGATACAAAAAAACAGTTTTATTGAAAAAAATAATTGGCTTAAATGTAACTTATATTATAGACAGTCAGCAAAAAAAAAGTATAGATCAATGACTTTTGATTGCACTGTTTTACTTGTGTTTTACAATTAYTAATTTTTTAGTTTTTTCGATTTTCCCGCCCGTCCTGTGMMTTCCGAACCTGTTTTTATATATACTCTCTTTTTATGTTTTTCTGCCGAATAAATCCTGATATGTGTAGTCATTAGTTGAACTTTCTGTTCCTGTTGTTGTTCATTGGGAACGAGTAAACCGAAATTCCATACCTGTTCGAGACGATGGATAATCTGATATTTACCGAACAGTGGTGCGGGTATTGCAAACAATCGTTGGGCGCAGAGCTGAATGTTTGGCAGCAACTGTGGTTCGGCTCCTAAATGACCGGCCAGACGATACCATAGGCGCAGATCGCAGAGCTCACGGGAACGTTGAATGAATTCATTGAACCATTGATGGTATTGTCCAATCACTTGATCCAATTCAAATAGACCTCTCAATTCCATAGCCATCGCGCGGTAAACAGTTGACTAGCGTTTACTCTATCGATATACTCATTGATTCTGTTCATCAATTGTTGGACATTCTGAATGTCAATATCTGGTGTCTGTTCGACATCTTCTGGAAGAAGTGGTTGCCTGAATGGATCCAATGGATTATTAAGCGGCAAATAATTCATGTCTTCTCTGTAAACGATAGAAATCTTGTAGATTTTGTCTGATCTCATAGCTCTACCAATTTGTACCATAAATTGATTTCCAAATCTATAGATATTGTTATAGGTAGTCACTGCCATTTCAATGCTATACTGATTGGTGTTTTAAGGCTATAATTATTTCAATACAAAAATGATTTTTGTTTGTGTTTAAATTTACTAAAGTGAATTTAACACAACGCTTAGTTTTATTTTTATTTAAATAATTATATTTGCAAACCAAGGTTTGCTTAATACTAAAATCTAGAATTCACTTTTAAAAATGCATTTAAGTGTTATACAGAAAAGTAAATAGTAAACACCTACTTTTAAGCAAAGTTTTATTTTATTTTTATTTAGTATTTCACTGTTAAAATAATGCATTGAAATGTTATACAGAACAGTGAGTAGTAAACTCCTACTTTTAAGCAAAGTTTTATTTTATTTTTACTCTGTATTTCACAGTTAAAATAATGTATTGAAATGTTATACAGAAAAATGAATAGTTTACGCCCAGGGATTAAAGCTGACTCAATACGACCTGATTATTTCTCACGTACACTTTAGTATAAATAGAGGTGTCTCTCAGACACCAAAATGGGTTCTCTTCTGAGATCAGTTCTCAGTTCTCTTCGGAGATCTCTTCGGAGTTCTCTGGGAGTACTACAATGTATAACTGTTTATAAGATGAAATAAAAGTATTTGCATATTACTTTGGGTGTATTACTTACTCGTCGCGGCTGGTGGTCTTGGATTGCGTCATGGATTACACTATCGATGTTATACTGATGAAAGCTGACCGCAAGAAAGATTACATCATGGATAACATTATCGATTGAGTCATGGAAGTACACCATGGATTACGTCATGGATGGTATTATGGATCACATATGGCTTCACTACAGGCCCATTGGTCCTACAGGCYCAACAGTCCTATAKGATACAGTTAACATAAAGGATAGCAATCGAACGCCGCGTCGATGGGAGTCGTCCACTTATTACGTAAGCGAATACTATATAGAAGGGAACTCCGGTACTGTGTCCGCTACACGGTAGGATCTGACTGGTCCGACCAAAGACTAGTGTTGACACGTGATGACGTTGAGTAAACCTTATCATTGAGTAACCTATTATAGGCTATGCAAAAGTAAGCGCTATGATAGGTTAACTCAGATATAGTAATAAGTCACAAGACACATTGGTCAACCATTACACTGACCACCTGGTCCACTGACCAAGGTCAGAGGTCGAAGGTCAGAGGTCAGAGGTCAGAGGTCAGAGGTCAGAGGTCAGAGGTCAGAGGTCAGAGGTCAGAGGTCAGAGGTCAAGGTCACATGTCCAAGGTCAAGGTCACTCGTTCAAGGTCAAGGTCACTCGTCCAAGGTCAAGGTCACACGTCCAAGGTCAAGGTCACACGTCCAAGGTCAAGGTCACCTATACAAGGTCAAGGTCATCGATAACTGGAAATCGGGTTTTATGTACTGATGACAATGGTACATGTTGGAGACCAGTAGGACAAGTGGTTATGGAGATATCAAGGAAAACATGTTTACCAAACAGACCTTAAAACTAGACTTGAGATTGTGTACCAATCAATTGGATATCCGTACGGTAGTATTATACGGATAGTTTATGCAAGGAACAGCATAAACTAAAACAGTCGGTCGACTAAATACTACACAAGACAACACATAGCTTTGTACACAACCAGTGATAGGAGATCCGCTCGCTCCTTAAGCCACATACCGTTACAGTTAATAATGCTGGTACGTGCAGGGCAACGTAAGGGCTTAATCTTTAAGTAATAGTAGGGTTTACATCACGGGTTAATGAACACTCATAGAGTGTTCACATATAAAATAGACCCGTGATAACCCCACTTCCCTTGCATTTGGTGGCAGCGATGGTGGATGCGAATCACCACAAAAATAAACCAAATGACTTACATTTGTTGGCAACGTTGAAAGATACGAAACTAAAGACGTATAAACCAAATGTTCCTTACATTTGGTGCAGCAGCGAAAAAAATACGCTGCGTTTGATGACACAATTGGAGAATTTGAAGTTACACAAATTAAAAGCATCTAAAGACTGGTTCATCGTTTCGAATATAATGACTACTATTTATTTTCAAAACGTATGAAACTAATAATAATGTAACTTGTAAAACTTAAATTCAAGTTAATGATGAGATCAACTTAACCCGACTGGCGCTGAGTCCGAGCCATATGGCTTTGGGCGTAGCTGGTTATACATATACTAAACTTACAAACTGTAATGTGTCGAATGCACTGATTAATGCACATTTGGAAATTGAAACACCGTTTTAAGACAGAAAAAAAGCTTAATAAATAGTAAAGAGAATCACTAAGCGATGAAATCAAATGTCCCCTACATTTGGTGGCAGCGTTGGAGGATTTCGAATACCCAAAAGAAACAATATGCATATACCAAATGTCCTTTACATTTGGTGAAAACAGTGGAGGATACGAAATTTCACAAATAAACTAAAATTGAAAAAACCAAATGTGCCTTACATTTGGTGGCAGCAGTGGAGGATGCGATATTCCACAAAAAAAACACAACACGCTTAACCACATGTTCCTTACACTTGGTTACATCGTTGGAGGATACGAAATCCTAAAAGAAACAAAATACGTTTTAACCTAATGTTGCTTACATTTGGTGGAAGCAGTGGAGGATGCAAATTTCCACAAAATACAAATTGA